GCTTCTTGGTACTACTAGTAAGGCACTTGCTACGAACGAAGCGATGCGCTTGTTCCTAGTAGCTTTCTTGTTGCCGCAGAGAACCCGATGGATTTTCAACGATTTTGCGACCAACTCTGGTGAGGTATCTTTGCACCTTCATTGCAACTCGGCAACCAGCGTGGCACACGAGTCACAGATATGATCCTGTTCGTTCTTTGTTGCCCCCCCCGGAAACAAAGGAATACTCGAGCCCACGGTGTCACTATGTGTATAGACAACGTATTTAGATGGACTACTTGAAAAGCCGATTCCCAGTGGATCCCATTACGGCCTTTTTGCCACCACAGAGGGAATCAGGATGAATCAAGGGCCCTATGTCGGTCTATGGCTTTAATCTCAAGGTCCAAAGGAAAAATGGCATCAATTGTGTAGATTCCGTGTCAAGGCCAATCGAATCCATTCGTGAAGTGCCTGCCCTTGGCGTAGTCCAGAATGGCCGCCGCCCTCAGCTTGAGGTCTTGGGCATCCTTCTTTGGCCCATCTCCAGCATCCACATGTTCAGCTTCGCAGCCGAAGACAAAGAGGAGGGACCTCCGATCGTCTCAAAAGGGTTTCGTCATGTTTCATCAGATGTCGATGGTGCCTTCCAAGACCGTTGACATGCTAAACCGACTAAACCCAAACATGATTATTGATCTGGTTTTGTAAAAACATCGGAGTTGGCACACCCACATTGAAATTGATTTGGTGTTTGGAAGGCTAGGGGGTGTGGCATGGTGTGCGTTTTGCGTGGAGATGAGACCGCCGAAATGGCTCTGAAGACGGTTCCACCTGCAGAGCGCCGCACGCCCTTAACACGCCTTCTTCTTTAGACTACCTTTCTTTCTTGCAATTTCTTCTTTAGCGCCAGGGGCGAGGTTCGCGAAGAACGAGGTTCTTTCATATCGCTGTGTCGGGTGATCTTTCACTTCGATCTTCGGAAGCCGTTGGGGGGGTGATCTTCGGTGTGGAATGGGACGTCCGGGTGCCGTGGGATGGCAGGATTCAGAGGTGGTCCTCGTGCACCGGATGAGAAACTTTGGCCACTTGGTGCAGCTCTGACCCAATCTGCAGAACGCCATTCAAACCAGACATAAGACATAGAGAGAGAGAGAGAGAGAAGAGAAGAGAACTGAGAACTGAGAACAGCCCTAAAACATCCTAAAACTGTTTTACGACAACACTGACTTCGCCCCACGTCCTTCCACGACGGGCCGTTGACGGATGTTGAGGTGGAGTCTATGACCCACTCACCACGGTCTTTACGAAGAAGAGCCACTTGGACGTCCGACCGACGACCCCACAAGGGGTGTTTTGCCGGTCTCTCCCGACCCAAAAACATCGCCTCAAATCGTCGGAAATTCCTTGACTCGGGTGGTGCCAAAAAACCATGGATCTGGGCTCCAGAAGCGATCTGAACACTCACCATGCGAGCCACTGAAACATGTGAGGCTGGTACCAAGACTATGATCCTTGCGGAAACTGTGAGACGATCATCTTGCAGGGCCCTCACGCAGCAGAATTCAAGAACTTTGCAAGTGGAGTGCCTTGATGCAGATCGGATGCGCGCTGTGTTCCCGTTCCGCCGTGTGCCGTTTGGAATGGTTTTCCTCTGACTTCGCATGTATCAGGCATCAAACCTTCCAACCGCGCCCAGGGGTTGCAAGTGCTCAAGCAGCAGAAGCCGGCCCCATATTACACCTGTGAGACGAGCCCTGGCAGACCAGTGGTGGATCGGGGGCTGTCGTCGATGGGTGCCACTTGTGTCACAAGATGGCAGAGTCAAGGTGGAAAGAGGAGTAAGGACCCAGTAGGGGGTAGAATCCTGGGTAGAATCGGGTAGAAAGCCTGTAACTGTAAGTTGCCCAAAGGGTAACCATGTCAACGTTCATGTGATGTCAATGTCCGCGTAGCATGGAGCAGTCTCACGTGGCTGATATATAAGTATACATAGTATATATAACGCCCCGAACCGAAACAATACATCCCTTGTCTAAAAGCCTCCAACTTTTTAGGTTGGAGGCCATCGCTACTAGGTTGGAGGCCATACCTGGAGCCCTGAACACTCAGGTGCGCCGGGTGCGCCCCAAAATGTCATCCGCCGTAAAATTGTTGCGTGCTCAGGTCCTGGAGGGGCACTTGTCAAAAAAGTCCAAAACTATGAGAAGACACGGGCAAGTATTTATGAGAAGAAACATGCAAGTATTTAACAAAGAAGCTTGCATGGCCTGCTAGATGTTTGATTGTGTTTCCCAATGCCCCATGTCATGCTGAAAAAAAAAGCCATCAGAGGTAGGGAGCACAAGTAATCAAAACCGGATGGCTGCACAGCCACAACACCCCTAATCACCAAAACTGCCTTTGCCTGGATGGACATTTGGAGGGCCCTGGGTTCTTCTTATACACTCAAAGAAAAGTTGACCCCTAGCAAGCCCTTCCCCGTTGTACAAACTGAACCAAGCCTAGAATCATGGACTTGCTCGGCCAAGGTTTCTTTGAGGAATTAACTTGGTGAGAACTTGCTTTGGTGGCAAGTGTTTGCTTGGCCTCCAAATTGTTTGCCTACAACACCAAGAACT